CACACACACACACACACACACACACACACACACACACACACACACACACACACACACACATCGTTGCCGACTGCAAGCTATTGAGCCGTATGCTCTTTAAAAGGTCGCTACATGCTGCTTTGCCATTTTATCTTGGTAGGTAACTTGCGGAAAATCTAACTCTCAGATGGACTTGACTGCACTTCCATTCACCTGAAGCTCCTTCAACACGACAAGGAAAAAAGGCTTCATTGGTAAACATTACGATTTACGGTACACAATATTTTCTATAATAATAAAGCACCATTCAGGCTTCTCTCGCAGTTGTCTTCTTTGGCCTTTTAACGATGTGGTCCTCAAGTGGCTTATTCTTTGTTTCAGATAACACAACCTAAAAAGAATGAGAATGTTTAAAAAAGCTCCCGAACATTCCTCTATCATCATGTGAAAATGCATTCATGCGATGATGGTGGATTTGTCAACAAATCATTTCGACAGATTTATTCTTCCAGCCTTCTCGTTAAGCTGCGGTACATAATAAAGGCTCTCTGACTTCATTTTATCAGTTTGGAACACCTATCGTAGTAAGGACTTCGGCGTTGATCTGTGCATGAATGTTTATCGATTGAGGTAACGGTAAGTGCCAAACCGCCAAAAAGGTGTAAGCGAAGCACCGAATCGATACTCACCCGAGCCAACAAAGCCTTTCATCAATAAGGGGTCTGATAATTGGGACCAGATTCGTATGGAGAGGCAAAAGCCCTGACTTGTCATCGGCTGACTCTCGATATTCACTTGTCTAGGCCACATATGCACCCAAAGTGCCACTACGCTCCTCCATGGAAGTCGAATACGGCGCGCGGGTATGAACGTGCGTCTGAGGATGCGCGCGGCGAATTGCGCAGCGAAGTTCGTAACGATTTGAACTACTTTAGCATCTACCATTGGGGCCCAGATTTGGAGTAGAGTAGATTAGAAGGATCATCTGACCCTTCTGACTACTCTACTTCAAATTTGTGCCCCCGAAAATTGGGGTCAGAGACGGACGATTTGTCACGAACTTCGCCGCGCAATTTACCACGCGCGTCCTCGAACGCACGTAGTGCACGTCCCCCACGGCGCGCATCTCAGAAGCTACAAAAATGGGATTGATCAACAAGCGCCAAAGACCTTATCTTTCGATCCAAGGAAGCTGCCTGTTCAATTGACCATAAGTGTTACTGACGGAGAGTTTTAAGTTTCTCCTAATCTATTGAAGTTCACCACTTTCCATCATTAACTTTTTTACGAGTTAGGTTTTTTTAACGGGAATGAACGAAGGTGGTAGAATAGCATATGGAAGGACCATTCGATATCAACCTTACTTGACAAGAAATGCACTCCTGATGGTTATAAACGTAGAACAATGGCGTAGAAAACCGATTAAATGGTTGGATAAATTCTTCTTATCTCTTTAACAAATACTCAACATTCTTGCATAAGAACATTCGATTCGTGTACAACAAAATAATGCTTAATGCTAAATACGATGATCTTACCTCAAACAGGATCACGTCCATTACTGTAACAACGATCATGAACGTGTATGGTAAATAATGCCATATTTCCTCCTGGAAAGGTAATTGGAGCTCTTATAGCGTAAACTCACGAAAGGAAAGCTTTCAGTCAAATATACTGGCTCTACAACTGCAACAAATGATTTACTGACAGTGGCACCCCCTTTTGATTCATTTTTATAAAAAAAGGGAAATAGGAAAGTGTACCTACCCATGAGTACACATGGGGAGCAATGACGATACCCATCCGGCTGCATAGTTGCACAAATGAGTAGCATAAGGTTCGTACCGAAGTGGGAAAGAGCTCGTTACAAGCGACAGAGTCGACGATCACAATCTGAAAACGAGGGCTTGATATTTCTGCCCGAGTTGATCGAATATGTTTTAAGGTAAACAAAAAGTTTGATAATCCTTTGTAACAAGCTCGAAATATACCTGCGATGCCATGGCGCAAACTATCAACACGCAGATCCTCACAATCTCCCCACAGTTTTCTTCGTGCCCTCAAAGGGACCATATTCACGAATGTGGACACGAAATAAGATTGCAACTCAACTGACCGGTGTAGAAAATCACTGTTGACGTAAGCAGCGACACTAGCACGAGCAGTTGGCAAGCAGTATGTGCTCGTTTTCGTCCAAAACACAAGAACTTATAGTCGAGTAATCCACAGGTGAGATTCGACGAGTATCGAAGTGAACCGACAAGAATCGAGTTCAGATAGATCGATCCAGATAAACTACCCAGATTGAACATATTTGCGTAGTTCACTACCATACAGGCAAAACTGAGTAGAATATGTTGTCATGATAATATCTATACGAGTAAATGGCGATTGAAACTTACAAACTGAATGAAAGAATCAACAGTGGAAACGCTAGATGAGCTTTTTTAAAGACATGCCAGTACGTATGTCGTTTTTTTCCCATGATTTCGAATTGCTGAAGTAGAGGCTTTTAGAGGTTCATACCATATTTGTTCATCATGAATACGTGGAGAGCTTCTTGTAGCACATTGAGAGGCAGCAATTCAATTTAGAACTCCAGAACTGCCCGAGTTTGCCATTAGTGGGAGAAGGGTTAATAGGACAGTGTTACCGACAAACCCTGTTGGGTGTATTAAAGTGAAGCGACTAAATTTGTTTGAACTGACACATAATGTACGGGCAGGGGGAAGCTGTGCACCATTACACGCGTATGGTCCACGTGTCAGATCCTAAATCGTTACTCGCCCACGCCAACCAATCCCTCCGTTCCTCTGGGGTCAGTTATTTGTTGTCAAACTCGTCTAGGAGGGCAGAAGCGCTGACTTGTACATCAGTGGCCACCATATGTAAGTCATTATGTAAGCCATATGAACACTACTACAATGCCACATAATTGATATACCCAACTGGCATAGAGAAGCACCTACGATTGGCATACTGTGCCGAAACTTATGGGAATCATCGAGAGTTGCTGTAGAGTTTTATATAACTACATGGGCTGCAGATGAAATTCTGATTCTCTTGTGCAATACCGGAGTCCCTCCATGGAGCACTTCCAGGAAATGACTTTTTCTTCGCAAGAAAGGGTATTCACAATTTAACTTTTACAATCAGGGTGTCCGGAAAGTTTTGTGAAAATTCAGTTTTGAGAAAATTCAGTCTACGATCTTCTTGTGACATCTAAGGCTCGACGAAGGCGATTGGCCGAAACGTTAGCCGAGTAAAGCTTGTTACCATCTTGGTCGTGGCTTCAGAGAGATCTCCAAAGTTACACCTATACTATGCCAATATTAAATGATAGTCGAACATGGTTGCTGTTGAAGATTCAGTCAGTTCGTTCAACACGAAATAACTACCACAGTAAATTTACGGTTACATCAACGATTAAGATACAATACCCACCCTAAATGTTCAACAAAAAACACGAAGAAAAAAACGCGTTTTCGCGTTTTTTTCCTTTTCTCTGTAACTAAGTTAGTTTGAAACTTCTTAATATAGTGTGCTATATGGTTGAACTCAACTCCTCGAGCTCTATAACATGGTTATCCAAAATTTTGGTAAGTTCAATTTTGAAGTCCTCTATCCATCAAAGTTCCGAAGGTACGTCATTAGCAGCGACGCCTGCTATACATAATTATAACCACAGGACATTCTCCTCCATTAAAAGTAGTCTGTGAAACGTGGTGTAGCTAATATTACCCGGTATAAGGTAAAAGTAAGATCATGGCATTTTTCAGATCGTCCTGACTAAGAAATTGGTGTGTCTGTTCTCCACAAAAATGGCTTCCCATAGCTCGAAAATTAGTGCTTTAAATTATTGAGAAAAGGCTATATAATCGTTTAAAATCCGGTACGCGCCATGTTTTTACAAAGAGCATAGGTTTTTTTGCTTTTTCAAGTGAAATTTCCGGTTGATCAGGGAGGAGCTATGCACTGTGTCGACAATATTCACACTACGCTCTTTGTGAACGATCGCTGACTGCAAAAAATCGTAAGTTATCTGGACCCTCGAACTATATATAAGCTCCCAATGTCGCCCCAAAGCACAGGAGACAAAATTTTGATTTTTGGGTTCAAAGTAAACATCCAAAAACCTACATAATTTGAATCCATTCACAAAAAGCTGCTCAGTCGTATGAAAATCGATCCACAATGTTTAATTCGAGTTTGCACCTTTAGCACCGCTTTTCTACCCTTCCCATTCTCTCAGCCACCCTATTGGTTCTCCAACTCAGCTAGCCAGGACAAGGTATTGTCCTGCGACCTCTGCGGCTCATGCAGTAATTACCTAGGGAGTTTCTTCGCACCTCGACGATAGCCTAGCTATTAGTGGTGCCGCAGTCGTAAACAGTTTTACAATCCACACATTCAAATGTAGCCGCTACCTTAACTAACTGATGTACTTGAAGATGATGCAAAAATTGAAAATTACGATTGTTTGCAGTCAGTGATCGTTCACAAAGAGTTTAGTATGAATATTTTCGGAACGGTGCATATCTCTTCCATGATCATCGGAAATTTCTCTTGAAAAAGCAAGAGAACCTATGCTCTTTGTAAAAACACGGCGCGTACCGGATTTTAAACGATTATATAGCCTTTTCTTTATACCTTAAAGCACTAATTTCCGAGCTATGGAAGGCCATTTTGGAGAACAGGCTCACCAACTTCTGAAAATAGAAATCACTTCATTTTGGATATTCATTTTGAAACGCCTCTGTCATTTGAGTTTGGCCTGTGGCCAAATTCATCCTTTCTGGAGAAAACTGGTATCGAAGTGATCAGGACGATTCGTAAAATGCCATGGTCTTATTTTCACCTAATACCGGAAAATATTACCCATTCCACGTTTCACAGACTAGTTTTAATGGAAGAGAATGTCCTGTGGTTATAATTATAGCGGACGTCGCTGCTAATGACGTACCCTCCGGAACTTTGATGGATGGGGGAATTCGAAATTAAACTTATCAAAATTTTAGATAAATCATATAATAGAGCTCGGTGATTCGAGTTCAACCATATAGCATTCTATATTAAGAAATTCTGAACTGACAAAGTTACAGAGAAAAAAAAACGAAAAAAAACGCAAGAACGCGTTTTTTTCGTGTTTTTTTGAACATTATAGGGTGGGTATTGTAGCCTTTCTTAGCCAAAATGCCTCTCCATCAACCGGTCAGGGCATTGATGCCAATCCGTCAGTATGAAGGAACGCGTGGAGCAATTCACCACCTACTTCACTTGTCCACAGTTGGAGTTTTTCTCCTGTACAGCAGACCTATAGGCTTCTGAAAGTATAGCAGTCTGTGACAGGTCAGGTTGTTATGTAGGGCACGGGTTTTTCAGGTTACACTAAGTCTTTCTAGCTCATCCATCGACGTCCTCACGTGAGGTGGTTGAGCATTATCCATTACAATCGAAAATTTCCTTGTCATCGGTGTGAAGTAAGGATTCGAGACGCCACCTCTCTCAGTTGTTAAGAGAATACTCTTGCATTCACCGCAGCACACTCTGGTAGGATCTCCTAACAAAATACCCGGTTGAGCAAAGGGAGAATGAACTCGCTTTTCTTGGCGTGAGCGCCTTGCTTTATAGCGGGCTATGGCCTCCTATCTACTGGTACCCCCAGCGATTTTCTGAGTGGATTTTCATATGACCTCTACTTTTTATCCTAAACGATAATGAAGTCAGTTGACGCCATCGTTTGCTAACAGTCGAAAAGCTTTTGAGACACACAGACTCACACTCGACGCTCCTGCTCATTCAGGTAGTATGAGGTATATGCAGAGTCCTTTCTTGAAAATGACTTATGCTTAGGTCCTGCCCAGTCAGGGAGTATGAGTTGGATGATGGATTGCAGAGTAGAGATAGGCCTTTCCATTTCCTGCTACGTTGAGTGAATCGCTCTGACGGGAGAACGGAACGCCGACAGGGGCATTTGGGGACAGTGAACCACTGTGCCATTTATCGCAGGTAAAAAGAGATGGTCCACTGCTGCCCATCAGACACCATATCTCATCCTAAGCTCGGGTGTCAAGCAATCAGTTTTGCAGAAGCGAAGCAGAAGGCTGGTATCGTCGACCCGGCAGGTATCGTCGTCTTTTAATAGTGGTGAAAACGTAGCTGGGGGGGGGGGGGGCGGTACCTATCATAATGTTAGTATAACAAGGAATGGACCCAACGAAACGTGTTAGGCCGTGTTATATCAGGGACATGCCAGGATTAACTAAGCTTCAGAAGGGTAGAAGCACCGTGGTGGGCAAGTTTTCTTTCTTTTTTTGCCTTCCTTATCGCACGAGGTAATCATTTCAACAACCCAGGTGTTCCTAACCTACTTAGGCTTAGTTTAAAAACTAATTTCCTCGGCTGAAACCGCATAAAAGCGCATGGTTGGTGTCCGTCCTCCTCTTCGACTCTGATACGTGCTGATATAACAAGTATGTACTAACACGTTAGACTGAGTTCATTTCTCTATATAATGACCTTTGGATGGGATCCTCCCACCCCCCTCCCCCTCCCAACAACATTTTCACCCCAATACCTATAAGGAATCGTATTGAGCTATCAACAATGACCCTTTCCCTGCTATCAAATCTATAGCCCTTCCTTGGTGCGTTCGCGAGTAACATGCTTCCGAAGTTGAGGGGCAGAATTTCCTAAAAACTTTCCGTCACCTAATACCTTGAGTGTAGTAATCGCTGACGAGGAAATTTGAAAGGAAGGTCATGGCAAACGGTAAAATGGGTAAAAACCTACAGCATGTTCCTGCTTGAGGATTTGGTCAAGATTCTTCTCGTCGATTTTCGCTTTGTCACCGTCGATGTGAGCTATTCTGAGTATGACACGTCGCGCTTCATGGATTTTCCCTCGTTGCACAAGCCATCGAGGGCTCTCATGTAGCTGTCTAAAGGTAGGTACTTTTTGAACATAGATTTTGGAAATGAAGTGAATCAGTGCATTATTCCGGCATTCTGTGATCAGTGACTAGCCGTAGGAAGTGCAAAAAATTAATGATAAAAGTATATTACTAATGATGACTAGTCAGGCATGAGCTGCACTTGCAACGGGAGGAATCTCTCTTCCCTTAGCGTTTTCATCGAACAAATGGGCAGCTCCTTGTGCACCTTCTTTTACATGATCGCTTGAAGTATTTAATGCGATCGAATCTATGCTAAACTGATGCCCCAAATTAACTGCGAACTCTTTCTCGTTTGGGGGCATCCTTTTGTTTTAGGCTCGTGACCTAGGTAGAGGCAAATGGCTCAGAGAGTAGGTAAAGGACAACACATCGATTCAGTTCCTGGTATGCCCATTCACATCCGAATTTTGTTCAGGGCCAAGGTGGCCTTGCGAATGCTTTGTAGCCTTTACAATGCTTTGTGGTGATCGACTGATGTACGAGTAAATTTCGATTTTAAGCTCCTGTTATTTCGTTGCAGTACGCAATCCGAAAGTCTCCAAGATTGAGAATTAAGGACAAAACCTTAGCCTAGGACGAGACTCGTGCTGTGCTAGCCGTGCACCGTGCTCTCAACTTTTACACTACCGAGATACGCTTTTCCTCAAATCCTTAATGGTATACCAGCGAGAACGTACAAATCAGTGTTTTCATCCTTCCAGGTAAGCCTGCGATCAATCAATCGTTTCAGGAGAGAAGGAAGACTTGATTGACTTGTTCGAGTAACGCCCCACCGTTCGATTAGCCAGACCACGATGGTGGCCTAGTGTTCCCAGTTTCCACTGCACCTCCTCCGCCTCTAAGCTTTTTCAACTCTACTAACAATAAGCTATGTCTAGCATGTTCTGGGGCGTTTTTCGCCATAAGTGCTGTGGGAATTTAAGGTGATGAGTGCGCACGTCTGAAACCCTTCTGATTATTAAGCCATGCACCTTTCATCAAACATCTCTGCCAAACGTGATGTTCTACCACCAAGATATCAGAACATTGTTAATTCCTGCCGCCTTCGTCCTGCAAGTTGGGAAGCCTAGATAACTGCTACGAAGGTAACTCGAGCTGCGCTGTAATTAGAATAGGAATATCAGCCGGTTCCATTATAAGTGCTTTTTTCAACGCTATCTATGGAAATAGCTCTTGCAAGCAATAATTAGGACCGTAGTTTCACATCAGTTGTTTTTGAATCAAAAAACGAAGTCGTTGGCCAGAAACTTCTTGACAAGCTAATCTTATGAGGGCGATATGAAGAATGCTGTCGAAAACAAGCGATAATTCTGAGTGTAGGAAATCTCGTGCATGTTTTCGATAGGTGACGTTCCACCGAGCGAAGAACGTTTTTCGAAGAATCGGTTTAACAATAAAACTGCTATAGGGTGCTAGAATTTAACTCGCTCTTTCTTCTGTTGCACTTCTTCATCAGTCAAGGAGAAATCCAATCAATGTTGCGTGAATACTTTTCATTAGAAACTTTTGAAAACTTTCGAATAATCTTCACTTTTTGAGTTTTTGTTATCATGGATATCACTGTTACTCAAGTTAGGCTTACCCCTGAACGTGTGAAAATACTCAGTAAATAATGATGGCCGGCATATCTTGCAAAGGTCAGACAAGAGTGAATTATCCTCATGCTTGCGAACCGTTGGCTCCTAGTATAGATATCTGGGCTGTGACCCAAGTATATTAACTGATCAGAGTTACTATCAACGGGCGTACGTTGGCGAGGTACTTATCGATTGCTGATTCCGTGGATACTCTTCTTCAGGTTCCACTGTATTTCCGCAAAGAATTTAATTGTTGGATCAAAGGTACAAGAAGTCTGAAGAAGGCGTGCCTTACGATCTTTTTTCATGCCGCCCAGAGTTGAAGCGCACAAATGCAAAAAGTATTTTTGCACATCTAAATAAAGTCCATATGTGCATAGTGCATGCATGTACTGTAGCACGCTTAAAGAAAATATTTTCAGTTGGAAACGAATAGAAATCTGAGTAGGGCTGAGTGCCCCGCCTACCTTAGTGCAAATCCTTCTCACAGTAAACTTGACCACCCTTCTTTTGACTGCTCCAAACCATTTTTTCCGCATTCCAGGAAGTTTTTGAAGAGACGAATTTCAGGTCCTAGCCC